ATAAGTGAACATTATAGAGACAATTCTGCAGTTGAGAGTTTCTTCTTTCCAAGTTGACAAGTGTCAAGTTGACAATCAATATTAACCAACATATGCCCTGCTTGCTTAGCCCAAATGTACACTGACTTACCACTCATTAATTAAAAAAATTAAATAACGTTTGGTTCATACAACTTTAGCCTCTTCTCATGAGACTCCAACCCTAGACCAAGAACTACAGGTAAGTGAGGAACACTGAGGTGAGAGAAACATAGTCTTTTCCATGGAAGCCTACAAATTGCTTAACCAATGGCTATCCAATACCAGGTGGGCATCTCTGAAATCTCTCTCTCTCTCTCTCTCTCTCTCTCTCTCTCTCTCTNCTGTATACTCCGCCTACCTAATTTTCTATCCAATAAAATGGGCCAAGGCAGTTTCTTTATTAATAAGAAATCACTCCCACATCACACACACACACACACACACACACACATTCCAAAAGATAGAGAGAGAGATTGGAAACCATGAATTTGAAAGCAAACATGGGAATACATGAGAGCTGTTGGAAAGATGAAAGGAAAAGGTGAAAATGATGTAACTTTACTGTCATTTCAAGCATAAATAAACTAATGACTTGATAAAAAAAAAAAGAAGTTGTGTGTAAGTACGGAGGAAGAAAGCTTTTGCTTTTTGTGTCAGGAGCCCATTCTTCTGCTGTGAAGTTGATTTGAAAGAGAGCTGTGGATTTGGGAAAGCAGATCTAACAGATCTCTTAATAGTACATAAGAAGAATAGGGCCTGTTACTGCTGTGGTGCAACTTCCCCTGTCCCATAATAACAGGGGCTGATGAGTGCCTTTCCCAGGCATGGTGACTTTAGAATAGTTAATGAAATTCATTGCTCATTTGAGAGAAAGAATAAGAGTAAAAAGCATTATAAAAATTCAATCCAGTTCAGGGTAATCTTGGCACATACTTTATCCCACTTGGTGTATTTCCAGAAGAAACAGGTCCATTAAATTCAAGAGGGACAGCTCGATCCTTGTTAAAGCCATAAATCAATGTTGCTCAGTTCCTAGCTCAACTTAGTGCCTCTGTAGAGAGCAAGACTGGGGAAAGAACTGATCTCACCATCCCCGAGTGTGTATTTCTCTTTGAACAAGATGCTGAACAGACAGGGCCCTTACTTTGGAGACAACTGAAGACGGACACTAAAAAGAAATCCCACACTAGCTCAGAAATGAGTATAATAAAGGGTTATTTACTTAGGGGTAGACCCAAAGATCACAGTTGTCTACTGGAATGGGGAACAACAACCTAATCCAGCAGCTGGAAGAGAGAGAGAGTGTGCTCACTTTACAACAGCATTTATAGTATAAGAGGCCACACCCAAGTGGAAGGGTAACTTAAAGATTACTGGCTAAAGGATTTCCTACAGCACCTCCCCCTTTTGTTTAAATAAGAGAGTTCTAAGCCTAATGCAAAATTATATACAATAAGAACAAATATCAAGTATAAAAATTAGAATTACAACCAGTATAAACAATATCAAGCAAGAAGCGTGATAAATGTTTCAATAATTATCCTATCCTAAGGAGTCTAAGTCTTGTATTATAAATAACTTGGCCAAGTCATGAGAAGAAAGTAAGTGCAACTGTCTAGTCTTCAACCCCATCGAAGACCTGAGAAAGGAAATAATATTACTTGAGTAAGCAGGAAGTGCACTCCGGCATCTTCCAAAATGTGCAACAAATGACAGAGACAACTGGCTACCTGGGTAATCACCCAAAGTCTCATTTGCAATGTTGGAACAACCAACTTTGGCTAAGGACTAGAGTAACTAACAGACCATTATCAGAAGCAGTAAAATTTTCAAAACTGTCTTACCCTGTCTTGGCAAGATTTGACAGTCTTTTTTCTTGTATCCTGCTTGTCCTGTCTGGATATCATGCATTTTGTTAGTGGTTGATGCATGGGCAGTTCCTTGCCCAAAGGCCAGTTTTTTCAAGAAGAAAACAAGCTCCAAGTGGAGTGTCTTCAGTGGTCAACATTCTCTCGGGAATAGATCAGTGCTACCTGTCTACCCTTGGGCTCTCACCACCACAGACACAGAAAGTCTCCAAGCAGGCTCTGTCAAATCTCAGCTTGTAAGGACTGTGAACAAATTAGTGTCATTTTGGGCTATTTAACAGTCTCCTGTATCCCAGACTGGCTTTGAACTCACCAACCTAGATTAGGATGACTTTAAACTCCTGTTACTTTTACTTCTATCTCCCAAATGCTAGAGTTTGAAGTGCTAAGGGTGGGATTTGTGGCCTCACACATGCTTAGCAAGAACTCTACCAGCTAAATTACATCTCTTGTCACCTCAATGCAACTTACTTGCTAAATTCATATGCAAAAAAACCTACAAAAAAAGTGGAGTATCTTGAGTGATACTCATTATGAAGATCCCTGGAATGACAAAAGTTTACTAATGTATTTCTTCAGCCAAAGCTTAAGGAGCAGATATTCTAGATTTGAGAGTCCCCCAAGTCAAAATAATTTCAATGGAGTATCTAAAATAGGAAAGGCCTGAGGATATCATTCATAAGTTCCCTGATGTGTCCAAGGTTGTCTTATCAAATGTTCGCCATACATACTTTCTACTGATCTATCAAGAAGAGTTTAGGTTTTGGTTTGTAATTTGTTGTATCAATAACCTTAGACTCTGGAACTCTGATGTGCCTACTGTAGTAACTTGAATAATACTAACTTTAGCTACGGTTTGCTTTTCAGTGAAAAGTCTTCCTTGAAAGATCCTTTTGGTTTCAATTTCTTCCTTATTCATGGTTATATGGGATGCAGATGTGTGTATAGATATACATGAATATGTGTGCATGTGTCCAGGTGTATATGAACATGTGTGCATGTGTGCAGATGTATAGGAACATGTATGTGTTTACATGTGTGAGGGGTATATGAACATGTATGCATGTACATATATGTAGGTGTATATGAACATGTGTGCCTGTGCAGGTGAAAGACAAAGTACAACCTCAGATATGCTCCTCAGAAATGCTAAGAGAGCAGAATAATTGTTTTATGCTTTGAAGATCCAAAAGGTAGTTTTTCACATAAATTTCGGTTGTGGCAGGACCAGGGATAATATAAAATAACTGAGAACTGGGGCTGCCCTGCTTAAAGACATTCAGTCATTTTTAAAATGGACCTCAGGAGATGACTTAGTGGGCAAACTCTTGCTGCTCAAGCCTGGGGAGCCGAGTTAAATTCCTAGCACCCACACCAAGTGTTTTTAACTTCAGCCCTGAGGAGACAGAAGCAGGAGGATCGTGGGAGCTCACTAGCCATCCAGTCTAACCAAGAGAGCAACCTTTAGGCTCACTGGACAATTTTGTCTCAAAAACTAAGGTTGATGGTGACTTAGGGAGAAACTGACGTCAACCTCCAGCATCCACTACATGTGTACAACCATGCTCATCCTCACACATGGAAGCACACATATGCATACACTGCACAATCCTTCTCAATTTCTATTCCTTGGAATTAGTTTTTGCCTGGGAAATGAGAAATTTTGAACCAGAAATAAGTGGGAATGGAAAAGCATCAAAAGCAGCAGACCAAGGATGACTTTCCAAACTTCCACAGAGCCTCTGTAAATTCTACCCCAACTGTGTGGTGTTTTACACCACCGTCAGAGAACAGACTGTGTTGGGCAACTCGCTTTTCTTCAAACGTCCCAGTGAGCATCCAGTTTCCTTGATGGACCCTTCCAAAGAGAGCAGTCACCTTGCCAGTTTATTTAAGCCATTGAGGACTTTGTATGTTTGTTTGTTTTTCTTTTAAACCAGAAAATGGATGGATATCTTTGCTTTTGGGCCACAATGTTCACATTTTGCTGTTTGCTTTGGAAAATTATCAAAACAAATATTGTCTGCTATTTTAAGAAGCCCATTAGGAGTTTTTTAAACATAGATGAAAATGTGGGGGACCATGCTTTACTGAGGTGGGTCATCTAGGAGCGACTGAAAGGTGAGATAGAACAGTCGATACTAACATTAATATTCACAGGATCTCTTCAGCATCTGGGTTTCATGGTGACCCTTCATGCATCTAAGAGCCAAACCCCACAAATGCACCTAAGTACAGCCTGGTCTTTTCATTTGCATGAACACTTCATCAAAGGATTGGGGGACTAATCCTTGTGTCTTAGGGTTTCTGTTTTTACACTGCTGTTTTCTTTCCTTCATGGAAGAGCCCCATTTTCCTCAATTTGTAACCCATGTGTGGTGTGGAACAAGCTCATCAACTCTGTAATGACACACTGCTTCTCCCTCTAGCATTTATTATTGTTCTTATTTTGCACTGGGGGAGGCTTCTCAGAGGCTGTGCAGCTTCACTGGGGTCCCAGATTTTAATACCATGTGATTATCTGCACTTTTTTTCGGCCTCACCTATCTTCAGTAGAGTTCAGTTGTTCTGGTCTACTAGAAACTGACCCAGCTTCTCTCTGTAGAGGCAAAGAAGCTCAGAGCCAAACAATTAATCCTGACACGAGATCCGTGCTTCGTTGACAAGGAAGACAGCCTGCAATAGTTTGCTTCCTACCAGCGTGCCAACATTTGCAAACTGACCTAAGTAGAACCCGCAAAGTATCTGATTCAGCAGAAGCAGGCACTACCCTTGTCATAACATTGTACTGAGTAAGCAGCCCTTTTCCAATGTAGGAAAGATCAAGTCTACATGAACATCTATTGCACCCCTGCAGGTACAAGCAGCCTGAACTACTCAGAGAGCTGTCAGGTTTTTTAGGGTTCCCTCACTTCATTAAAGATCTGGAAATAATCAGTATGTGATTATGTGGCTTTGTCCCAAGTTCCTAGAGTCTGCGTGAGACCGAATTGGAAGGACTGTGTGATGTCAGCGCCTCAGTGACAGCTAAAAAATGAAACCAAAGCAGTCACAGAGGAGATGTGAGGTTAACTCGATTTTTTGTTTTGTTTTCCTTTGTTTTTCCCACAGCAGGAAAAACCCAGACTGCTGGAGCCTTTGGATTATGAAACTGTCATTGAAGAACTTGAAAAGACCTATCGGAATGATCCTCTTCAAGATCTCCTGTTCTTCCCCAGTGATGACTTCTCAGTAAGTCCCTTTGAGTTCTTTAAAATTAGCAGGGCTCTTTCCACATAGATTCAGAAAGCAAAGCCTTCTGGAAATTTTTTGGGGGGTTGTTCTGTTTTTGTTTTTGTTTTTGTTTTTTTGTGGGTTTTTTGGAGGATTTTTTTTTGTTTGTTTCTTTGTTTTTCTCTTTAGAGCCTGCTACCCAGCACCCAAATAAATACATGGAAACTTGTTCCTCCTTGTGGATGTCCAGTCTTAGCTTGGCTTGTTTCTAGACAGTTTTTCTAACTTAAATTATCCTGTTTCTCTTATTCTATATTTTGCCTGTGGGCTTTTTAACTTTCTGTATTCTATATCTCTTTCTTTCCTTCTTATTCCATGGCTGGCCAACTGGATGACTGGCCCCTGGTGTCCTCTTCTCCTTTTCTCACTCCTCTTTTATTTTTTTTTTTTTTTTTTTTGGAGTCTAGATTTCTCCTCCTATTTATTCTCTCTGCCTGGTAGCCCCGCCTATTTCTCTCTCCTGCTGATTGGTGTAATGAAAAGCTGAAAGGCCAATCAGGTGTTTTAGGCAGACAAAGTAACACGGCTTCGCAGGGCTAAACAAATGCAACATAAAAGAATGCAACACATCTTTCAGCATTAAGCAAATATTCCACAGCATAAACAAATGTAACACATCTTAAACTAATATTCCACATTGCTATGACCACATTGCTTTACATTACATCAGCAGAAGGCTGTTTCCAGCCATAGAATAGGCCCAGGGCTTCCCCAGATCAGAGAAGTAGAAGTGAGGCTTAACAGGGGACACAAAGACCCAAAACAGTACATGGTGCTACCTGAGTCCCCTCGGTGTTCTTGTTCCCGCTAATGCCCTAACCTCTTGCTGCTGCCTTCCTTTGATTTAGCCTACTTCTTCACTCAGATTATTTTTAACCAGAAGCTTCTGAGAAACAAAAATCAGGAGGAAAAGGAGAAGTCTTTGGTACAAGAGATCATATTTTATATTTATTTATTTGCTTGTTTATTATTCTCTCATATATTAAATCCCAACTGCTTTAAAACAACCATGAGCCTTTGTTGGCCTTTATTAAGGAGATGGTGAGGCTTGGGGTCAAAGCAAGAGCATCTTTATGAAATGATCTATGTGAGGTATGTTCCCTTTAGGACAGTATACACGCAAGATGCTCTTGAGGTTAGCAATAAGAATGAACGAAAAGGAGGGAGATAGCCCACTCAATTAGTAAAGAGCTTGCCACGTAAGTGTGCAGACCTGAATCCATTCCCCCAGAACCTACATTAAAAAGTCTACTGCAATGGCATACCCCCATAATCCCAGTGTTGGGGAGGTAGAAGCAGGAAGATTCTAGCAGCTGGCTGGCCAGCCTAGCATCAGCTCCAGGTCAGTGAGATAGACCGAGAGAGAAGGAAATGAAGTTAATATTGAGGTTAAAAAAAGAATAAAGTTGTGGATGATGAACACTAGTGTGCCCCAAAGTATTAGATTCTGTTACCTGTAGCGTCTGGAGCATTGACATGCTGTTCGTGAACAGCTCTGCAAACAGGCTGCCCAGGGCAGTTAGTAACCTTTTCCATTTTTTTCCTCAAACAAAGGCAGTCTAAGATATCTCAGACTGAAGATGAAAAGCAGCTGGGGGATATCCCTGTAGAGCAGGCTATGCCCCTGGATTTCTCTCTCAGGCAGTTTCTACATTTCACTAATACAGCTTCAGTATCCTCTCCCACCTTTGAGGACAGATCTGGTTTCTGGCTTCAAAGGGTTTTGTTTTGTTTTGGTTTTTTCTTCCTTCATGGATTTAGGAAAAAGAAGTTACATAGCAGCTCTTAGGTCTATGGATGTAGCTAAGTTAAAGGAAGACTTGCCTGAAACGCATGGGGAGGGGACCTGTGTGTGGCAGAATACAAAATGTTATAGAAGAGACAGAGTGAATACTTCTCTGTTCCAAGCATGGGTTAGGTAACAGTGGAAGAAAGGAGACAGATACAGACATAAGAAAAATAATTATTTTATTCTCTTTTTTGGTGTTTTAAAATGGCTCCTGCTTACTGTTGGCACACTTGAAGAGAGATTTATCTCTGTAGATCTCATTTCTGTGGTTGGGCTAGGCACTGAGGCTTGAACTGCAACTTGAAGTTGAACTACCTTCTTCTTTCTTTCAATTCCATATCCTTATTTTGATTCTTCAGCCTGGAGGTAAACCTACCCAAAAGGCTTTCTGTCAGACAGCACCAAAATTCATGAACTTTGGAGAATCTTCTCCTCCAGCTCTGTCATTTAGAAATATGTCAAGTGCCACTTCAAGTTTCCTTCCACCTCAGCAAGAGAACAGGGAAGCACGGCTGGACCTCACGTTCGCTCTAATTTAGACTCTATTTTTGTCATCAGTTCAGCCTCATTTAAACATTGTCTCTGACTTTTTTTTAACCTTTGCCATCCTTAGTAGTATAAACAGAGCCTACAATAGCATATTGCTCTATTTTCCCAATGTGATCATTCCAATTGGCTCACAGGACTGTTTTATTATGTTCCAACTTGAACTCCACATGTGGTTCCTTGTTGCCTCTATAATGAAGTTATAGGGCTAACTAGATAGCTTGGTGAGTTGAGGGGTTTGCTGCCAAGCCGAAGGACCGGAGTTTGATTACCAGAATGCATTGTAAGGAGAAAATACACTCCCACAAGGAGTCTACTAATCTCCAACCCACAGCTGGGAGAAAAGCACCCAGTTAGTACACTCAAGAGAGATGCGATGGTCTCTAATCTTAATATGAGAAAATGGCTGGATTTTTATTTATATTGATGGAGGGGAGTAGATCAGCATAAAATTGCCAGGATTTTTAGTAAAATTCTAACATTTTTCTATTTCCTGCCCTTTTTCATTCTTGCCCTATGCATTTTGGCTTGGAAGTCTAGATCCCACGGGTAATATGCTGCCTACTTTTGTGTGTCCCATGGGGTAAGAATTGTTGATTTAAATAGTTGAAGGCAAAAACAATCTAGTTGGTAGCAAAAGAATCTGAAATGCACGTTCTGATATCATAAACCAGTTTTTAATCGAGCACTTGTATTGGTTCATTCGGTGGCTTTCACCGTACAAAGGCGGGGCTCTAAGTGATTGCAGAAGTTTGAGTTTGGACATACAACACTGTTCTAGCTTCACTTCTGCTGTTGTTATAAGATATCCTGGCCGAAGAGGACCTAGGGGAGGAAAGGATTGTTTGTTTTACGCTTCCAGCTTAGTCCCTTACAGTGGGGACATCGAGGCAGGAGCTTAGAGCATGGCCTCTACAGCCAGGAGCTGAGAATAATTGCATTGACCCTCACTTGCTGCTTGTGTTTACACTCAGCTAGTTTTCCTCACTCTTGTACAGTTTAGGGTCAAGTTCATGAAATGGTGCTGCCTGCAATAGACTGAGTCTTTCTAAATTGGTTAATAACAATCAAGACAGAACCCCATAGATATCCCATGGCCACCTTGATCTAGGTCATTCCCATTAATAATCTTCCCATAGGAGTCTAGGTTGTGTCACATTGACAGTTAAAACTAACCAGCACACACACTAAAAAACTTATACTCTGACTATGCACACATGCACACACACATGCATGCATTACCATGATAAAATGCATTTGTTCTAGACAGGTCATTTTTTAAAAATATTTTTTATTGAGCTAAACATTTTTCTCCACTCTCCTACCTTCCTCTCCCCTCCCATCCTACCCCTTCCTATGATCCCCATGCTCCCAGTTTCCTCAGAAGATCTTATCTTTTTCTACTTTCCATGTAGATTAGATCCATGTATGTCTCTCTTAGTGTCCTCAATGTTGTCTAGGTTCTCTGGGGTTGTGAATTGTAGGCTGGTTTTTTTCTTTACTTTATGTCTAAAAGTCACTTAGCAATGAGTACATATTGAATTTGTATTTCTAGGTCTGGGTTACCTCACTCAAAATGATGTTTTCTAGCTCCATCAATTTGCCTGAAAATTTCAAAATGTTATTTTTTCTGCTGTGTAGTACTCCGTTGTGTAAATGTATCACATTTTCCTTATCCATTCTTTGGTTGATGGGCATCCAGGTTGTTTCCAGGTTCTGGCTGACAAACAATGCTGCTATGAATATAGTTGAGCACATGTCCTTGTGATATGATTGAACATCCTTTGGGTATATACACAAAAGTGGTATTGCTAGGTCTTGAGGAAGGTTGTTTCCTAATTTTCTGAGAAATAGCCATATTGATTTCCAAAGAGGCTGTACCAGTTTATACTCTTACCAGCAATGGAGGAGTGTTCCCTTTAGCCCACAACCTCTCCAGCATAAGCTGCCATCAGTGTTTTTGATCTTGGCAAAGATCAAAAAGGTGTAAGATGGAATCTCAGAGTTGTTTTGATTTGCGTTTCTCTGATGGCTAAGGATGTTGAGCATTTCCTTAAGCATTTTTCGGTCATTTTAGATTCATCTGTTGAGAGTTTTCTGTTTAGGTCTGTACCCCATTTTTATTGTATTATTTGTTCTTTTGATGACCAATTTCCTGTGTTCTTTGTTTATTTTGGAGATCAGTTCTCTGTTCGATGTAGGCTACCATTTTGTCTTGTTGACCATGTCCTTTGCTTTAGGAGGTCCCCGTTTCTTAATTGTTTCTCTCAGATCTTTCATGTTCGCAATGGACGATATATACACTTCTCTAATCTCCTGCCATCATTGGCCCATTCACAGTCTACATCTCTTAGGAGTGTTGCTCACCATCAAAAAGCTGCCATGCTCCTAGAAAACGTATCATTTCCTTGACTCTGTTGGAACCTTGGGAGTCTCTGTGGTTTGCCTGGACAGTTTTCCCACATCCAAGCAGAAGTGGCAATAAAGTGATCAGACTAATCTCAAAGGGTGGAGTATGGTGGCTCTTCAAATTCCCACCTGTCCTTCCAAACATTAAGAATCAGCTGTTTGGGTGAGAGGACCTAGTTCGTTTCTCTGTTTCTGTGATTCTAAGCACCCGTGC